GTTGCAGGAACACGGAATTTCATAAATGATTTTTTGTGTTTGTTGGTAGGTTTCTGTTTGTTCTTCACCACAATGAATCTTAGTGTTTTGTAAGATTTCCATTGGACGTCTATGTGGAATTTCTTAGCTTTTTGTTTGAGTTTTTTCACTGACATTTTTCAGGTATGGGAGGTATATGGTTGTAGTGGTAGTGGTTTCTTTATTTTTCTTTTCTGTTGTGGTCTTCTTCAGAGAGTTCTTGATGAAGGAAGAGGTGTAACCATTCTGTTTAAAACACTGTATGATGTTTTGGCATTCTGTTTCGATGGATGTGTTATCGCAAATGTTTTCTGCTCTCTTGCTTTGGCGCTGGATTATACCATGTTTTATCAAATTTGAATAATAGAACTGGAAGTATAGGTATCTGTTTATGTGGGAGGGTTTTCTGTATACAGTTGTGGTGATTTTTCCCTCTTGTCTGCTGATCAGCATGTCAAGAAATGATAAGCTGTTTTGTTCCTCTATTTCCATGGTGAAATGAATATTCTTGTCTACGGAATTAAGGTGCTGTAAGAAGGCTGTTAGGTTTTTACGACCGTGGGGCCAGATAACGAAAGTGTCGTCAACATAATGTCTGTGGAAACTTGGTTTCATATGTGTGGATGAGAGGGCTCTTTCTTCAAAGTCTTCCATGAAAATGTCTGCTAAGATTGGAGAGAGTGGTGATCCCATGGCTAGACCATCTGTTTGTTTGTAGAATTTCAAACTACACCACACACACACACACACTGACTTATTAGAGACTTTCAAAACGACGCCCTCCACACTTGTAGGTTTCTACAACAGGCAGTTGCTGTCCATTTGAAACTTAGATTCATGATACTGGTAGTTTCTCTATATATTTGAATGGATACAACATACAATTAATACAACTAAATGTTAAATAGAAAATGTAACTCTTAGTCTAAGAATACAAGTAGAAAAGATACTAACTTAATGCAATGTGTGCACCTTCATATGGGGGATAACCTCTTCGGATACAGTTGATAACACACATTCCTACTGATGTCAGAGAGTACTCCCTAAAAAATTAAATATATATATATATATGACACACATATTAATACCAATGTGGAAAACAAGCACCACAAAACATAGTTTAATTTAAATTTAGTTTATGGAGTTTAAATACAACTGTGGAAAATGAAAACTACAAGTAGTAGTCTGAATTATATTTTTTTTTACTATGGAGTTTAAATATAAGTAATGAAAACAAGAAGCACAAGAAATAATTTTAGTTACTATGTAGTTTAAATACAGGTAAGGAAAATAAGAACCACTGATATATAGTTAAAATGTATTATTATTGAATATTACTCAATATTATTATTATTGACTTTGTAGTTGTCTACGTACGGAATATTGTTATTTTGGAATTGGTTTTATCTTCTTCTGTTTCTTTTTTCCTATACCTATATTTATTGAAATAATTATTAACATTGATATATATGTTGTATTGTTCTAACATTAGTATCATGTCCTGATCATGCACATATTTATTAACTGTGTTTTTTGTAAGTGATAACTTTATATTTCAATTGTTTGAAAGTTTCATTTTGGATTTCTGTGTTTGTCAAAATTTAATAAATTTGTTTTTTCTGTTCAACACTGGTTGTAGCAGCTGTTTAATTTTAGTTTGTTACAGCACACTAGTTAGATTTAGATTAGTTGCTTTGTGGTTTAACCATGTGACTCCCCACTATGCTTGGTAGTGTGTAGTGTTATTAACAGGAGTGATAGTTTAGCAATTTTCCACCTTCTGTATCTTGGACTGTGGTAATCCAAACTACCACATATTTTCAGTGGATGTACTCTATTGGACTCTTACTTCACATACCAAATTTCAAGGCGATCCATAAGAAATACCTGAGAAATAACATCTCCAATTTTAATTGAGTTTCTTCTTTTTTTTTCTTTGCACCGAAAGTACAGAAACTTTATTTGATAGAAAAACATACTTAACTTTTATGGATTTTTGTTCAAATTTGGTACACTGATAGATCTTTTCTACCTACAATTAGAAGTCTCATTTGGCATAAGTATACGCCACATGTGCAATATTATTTAAACTTCATCCTACCAACTGGAGTTTGATCAGACCAGAGATGATATTTTGTATATGCCAGACCTACGTCAATGTCCCAACTATATTAGGGATTTATGAATTTGTTTCCCTATATGAGTTTGTTCTATCCAAAAGATTACTTTCAGATTCCAGTTGGTTGTGTAAAAGAAGCATCTAATTTCTAGTTGGAGTCCATTTGAACTCCAGAAAAAATTACTAAGTTTACAACAAGTTCTATTCACATGATGTTCTTATTTGTATTGCAGTGAAATATGGCAGGTAGAGGTAGAATTATGAGATACACTGATGCAAAAGCCCTTAGGGTTATCCTGGAATCAAAAGTAGGCTCTAACCTGAAAGATTCTGACATCTCAGATGCAGACCATTATCATATCTCACAATCATTGGACTACAGTGAAACAGAAACTGCAGAACCAGCTTCTAGTGACCATGGTGATATGTACAAGCTAGATGCAGCTCATCAGCATAACCTTGTTGCAGTCAGATGCAGAGGACAACCTGGTGGCCAGCCCAGAGAGAGAGCGGCCGAGGTCATGTGGTCCAATCACAGCTAAATGGATCAGATTCTGCACTAGCTGTTGGCCTAGATTCTGCCCATGACGTTTTCGTTGGATGAAATGGCACTGTTTTGCCAAAAAATGCACCAAATGTTGGCAGATGTCGTGTTCAAGATATCCTCAGACAACAACCTGGCATCACTCATACTGCTCAGTGTGATTCTGTTGTTGTTGTTCACATCTGCCATGATAGAACTTGTTGTAGAAACTAACCGAGAGGCCCAATGCTGGATTCAAGAATGGAATGATGCCAATCCTCAAGCTTGGATAGCTGTGAACTTTACCAAAATGAAGGCTTTCATCAGACTTTGTCTGTTTGCAGGTATGCACAAATCCAGTCATGAGCCAGTTGCACTGCTGTGGTCAGAGAATGAAAGAAGACCCATCTTCACTGTGACAATGTCTAGAACACAATTTACTGATATTCTGAAATTTCTCAGATTTGACAACTAGATGACTTGGCCAGAAAGACAAGCAACTGACAAACTTATTCCCTTCCATGATTTTTGGATTCTTTTTCAGGTACAGCTTCCCAAATTCTACAATTCTTGGAACCGACCTTTCTGTTGATGAACAGTTAGTGGCATTCAGAGGAAGATGTGATTTTTGCCAGTATATTCCATCTAAGCCAGCAAAATATGGCATCAAAATCTGGTGGTGCTGCATTGCTGAGACCAGTTACCCATTGAAAGGTTTGTTTGTTTCTAGTTAAGCACAAACTTACCATTGAAAGGTGAAGTATACTTGAGAAGGCAGCCTAGTGAACAAAGAGATGTTGGACAAGGGGCTTGTAGCGTGAAACTGGTCGGAATGTCATAGCAGATAATTTCTTTACTTCTGTCTCTTTAGCAGAACATCTACTGAATGATGGCTTGACCCATGTGGTCACAATCCGATCCAACAAACCAGAAATACCTAAAACAATGAGAGCTAACAACAACAGAGAGGTCCATAGCTCGTTGTTTGGATCCAAAAACCAAGTTACCTTAATGTCTTATGTACCAAAGCAGAATAAGTCTGTGATGACTTTATTCACTATGCACCATGATGGTACTATATAGAGTGATGACCACAAATCACAGATCATACTCCACTACAATGCAACTAAGAGTGATGTGGACAACTTGGACCATCTGGCAACTTTGTTCACTTCTAGGAGAAAAGTGAACTGCTGGCCTGTTGTGTTGTTTGGAAATTGCATTGATGTTGGTGCTGTGGGAGTTTTGATCAGCTGGTTGGCAAACTTTCCACAGTGGAAGTCATCTGAGGGAAAACGAAAGTGACGACTCTTCCTGTTGGAGCTCGTACACCAATTTATCATGCCACAGATCTAGAGGAGGGCAATGACACCTACACTACAAGTCCCAATCCGATTAGCGATACAGTTGGTTGGCATTTACACAATTCAACCACAGCATGCTGATAGAGTAGTAGGTGATGGCAAGAGAAAGAGATGCAGCTTTTGTCCTCATCAGGTTGATAAAAAAAGTCAGACTGACATGTAGTTCTTGTAACAAGCCTGTATGTCCCACTCATAGCACCAAACAGGTAGTTTGTGACAACTGTTTATAAATACATCTTGGCAGGAGGAGTGGAAAGGAAGATTGCTCAACACAGAGTTTAATCAGGTCAGAGCAAGCAAGTGACTTTTGGTCAGATGAGCAATCAGACAGACTTGTAGTTGAATATTTCCTTTTCTGAGAATAGAACAGACACTGACCATTGTTTCTAGGATTAGTAGGTAAGGATAGGAAAGTAATACTATGATTGCTTTAAAGTTAATAATCCTGGATTCATTGCAAACTTTACATATTTTACTGGATATTTGTTGTTTGCTATGAGTTACTTTTGATATTAGATAAACCTGTGGTTTTCTTACGTCTTCATCTAAGTATCTTAACTATTTTTGAAGCCTATAATTCAAGCCTAACAACTTGCATATGATAAAGAACTTACTTTACAAGTTGTAAAACTTTGAAGTAACAGGAAAATAATGCACTTTCTGCAGCAGTCTGGTATTTAACATTAAACTTTGGACCCACAGTATGGATTACATATCGAGCAGGAAGGTTGTATCCCTTTGTCAACTTGGCATCTCCTGTCTTACAGCCTAAATGACAAAAAAAGTAAGCAACAGAATGTGCAAGTCAATACATATATATGGTTAAATACAGTAATCACTGAAAGTTAACATATTCCTTATCTGAAAATGTGAGTATCTATCAGAAACATATTTCATTTTGAAGTAAGGAAAATATTAACTTCCAAAATGATACCTCACCTCCACATAGAGAATAGCTAGAATCCTACACTGAAATGGTGAAAGGGCCAGTGCAAATATTAAACCTAGATGAACTCCTGTGCCCAAAGAGAAAGCCCATGGAATGTGACACCTGATAGCAGAGGCTCCAAATGGGCACACCCATGGAAGACTGGGTATACGCCAGCTAACATGTGACATTTCTACAATGCTGCTGAATAGTTATGCATTAGTAAATTACACAATCTCATGCATTATTTATTGTGACAACACTGCGGTACTGTTAGACATTAATGGTAAATGTATATATTCAGGAAACAAGCAATTCAAAAAATACAGTAGTAGTTTACATGTTTTGAAATACTGAACAACATTATTTGATGTATTTTTTTGTATGGTTTATGCTTTTGAAAATTTACAAAGTAGGAAAATATTTTCACAATGTTGCAGCAATGTTGTAGGCACAACTTTCATTGAAACACAAGTTGCAGCCTAAATAATATGTTTACACTTTCCATTGTGCAAGTACTTATTATTTCAATTATTTTATGAATAAAGAAATATATCATTTAACTTTGATTTTACTGTTAATAATTATAATTATATAGTTATGCATTGTCACTGGGTTGTCAACTTGTCACAATGTTCTTGGCATGGAAATGACTAGATGTGTATACGTATTTTCTTAAGAAATACATAACAATACCTTAGAGCAAACTTATACATACAGGAAGATACCAAATATATTATGTGATAATTAAAATATAAAATTTGATCATTAAATTTTATGTTTACTTTGATCATGTATTTTCCAAACTTAAATGATATATTGTAAGTAACCAAATGGTATAATAAGCACCAGCTCTATACTTGAAACTTCAATGGCCTCACTTCTTACCAACTATTATTGGTAGCAGTACAGATGAATCAAGGTATGTCAATGTTGTTTATTTCACCTGATTTATTGTGAAAAGAATTTAGCACAAATACCTATATTACAGTTATTTTTATATTTTTGAATTTTTTTATCTTTCATAGTTTTCAATTCCTAATTTTGAAGCTTTACCCAATTAATCGATGTTTTTACAATGTTGTCCTCCAACCACGGATGTAAAATTTAAAATTTCAGCTTAGGCTAACTGGGAGTGTGTATTCATAAGTTTTCTCATCTTAAGGTTATTAATACATATTTTTGAAATTTACCAGTAATTTGACATTCATAGACCTACAAAATGTTTTTGTGGTGTTTTGATTTGGGAATATTTGTTGAATTTTCAAAGCAATTTACTTAAGTAAAATATGTAATTATTTGCATGGTATTATACTAGCACTACAATTTATATATTAGTGTGATACTAACAGTGTAAAGTAAAACATTTGAATGAAGTTATTAAGTGATTTCTAAATTATATAGAATCAATGAATCATATATTGTGATTAAAAATATAGCAAATAGGATGAAATGTGCAACTTAGCATGACAGCATTACCAACATTTGTGTTTTAATTATACATTTCAGATGAAGATAGTGCACTGACTGTAATTTGAAAAGTAAGCACAACTGCCCTTGCCTCCAGTCTTTGTTACTTCATCTGCTACTATGACATCTCACCAGCAGACCTCATTCTCACTTACCAGGAGGCTGTCCACACCCCACTGTCAGGCTTCAGTCTCAGCCCAACAACAGTTACAGTCCACTTCAGCAACCACTGGCTGCAAAAGCACAAGAGAGTAAGCATTCCATATAGTTTGCATTCATTTTATAAGCAGTAATTTATGATTAAAATTTTGTATTTCTGCCAATAGTGTGTAGTTTTAACACTTTCAAATATTATTTGACAAATTATAAAAAGGCATTTTCATGAACAGACTTTCAGATCAGTGTGCAGATGAATTTGGACCAAATCCTGGACAATCAACAGCAACAGACTGTCTTGTTTTATCAAATGACAAGTGGAGGAAGAAATGGAGGGGATGGTAACTGTATGCTAGATGATGTACTTCCAAAGCCATTTTACATCCATGACCAGATGTAGGAGTTTGACAAGAAGTTAGAGGATGGTTCCTTCACAAAACAAATGGTAAGTCATTTAGTTAATGGTTTAAGTATAAAGTGTATAAACTATAAAGTGTACATGTGTATATGATATACACATTCATATCATAGTCCATTGAAGTAAATATTTTCTATATTAATTTTCCTTGTTTGGCTTTACAGGTTAGCTTCATGGGTTCCCAGGATGGCCAAACTTGTGGGGAAACAATCCAATGAATCATGCCAAAGAAAACAATCCAATGAATCATACCAAAGATAGGCACCTACAGGTTGTGGTCTGGTTACAACCCGAAGGGCGGAAAACAAAAAGATGCATCCATAAATTTTCTACTCTTCAAATGCATTAAGAGTATGTGTTGAAATTTAATCACTGTTAATGTATAATATGTTAATTTTAGTTTTGACACAGTAAACCTTAAAATAGAAACACACTGAGGTGACTTAAAAGTACTAATTTTGAGAAATAGTTTGTGTGTATATCTGTATTAACTTAGTAAACTTGAAAGTACCAATACCAGTTGGGAATTTTTGAGATAATTATAAAATTCAATGTTTAAAAGAATGAAATAGAAATTATCTTCCAGTTAACCATTCTCAAAGTTTTTTTAATTTTGTTTTGTTGCACAAGCATGCCTTCAGAGCTACCCAAAGGTAAAGAAAATTGAGGACCAGGTGACAGAACTTCTGAAACATGCTCCCAATAAGCCAGGAGGAACAAGACATGAGGTATGTTGGAGTCAATAATTCTAGAGTGAAAATTTATAATGGAGTTTTCCCTTACACTTTGTCACTACATAATTAAAAAATTATGTTCATAAAATAATATATATATGATGCTAGATATTTTGCAGAAAGCTACTTTAGCAAATGGTGGCCAAAGATTGCAAAATGATTAAGTAGAAAAAGAAGAGCTGACTGACAACTAGAAAACCTCCAAGTGTCATCAATAATAATTGTAGTCAAATTTTGTAAAGTTTTTATCAGAGAATAAATGTTGAATGTTTAATGAAAAAACAACTACTCGATACATTTACATGATTTTAAATCCACAATAACCAAAAAACAGGAATTCTAAGATGAAATGTTTTTAGTATAAAAAAGAAGAAAGTGTTTCACAACAACATATCCAAAAATATGTAAATACTACACCATACTGTTATATTTTTCAAGCAAAAAGTATGTACCAAATTTCATGCAATCAGATTAAGTATAAGTGTGAGAAAAACAGTGGTGACATGATGCCATCCTGACAGTCGTGATAGGGTTAAAAAAATGGTGGCATAATGGTTGTAGGAAAGTAGCAATGCAACATAAAACCACAACTTGTAGCAATGTTTCTTGGAGTCCACAAATTTACATTGCTGCAATGTAAACCTCTAACATTGCAGCAACCAATATGTAATGTTGCAGCAATGTTGTCACAATGTTAAATTGTTAGCTGGGTATTCTCTTTCTTTGTAAGAAACTGTGGGAAAAACAAAGAGCTCCAAGTGTCACAGGGATGGGCATAATTTTAGTATGACCAACCAATCACCTGTAAACATGTAGTGTGGTTAGGGCACGATCTGACTGTACAGCTTGTGGCTCACCTGAATTCGACTGGACAGACAAACAGGGGTTATGAATCTATTCTGCTACAAGAGGAGAGCACATTAGCTGTTTGATGGGTGACCCACACTCCACAAACAGTGCCCTACTTTCTACATTCACCCTATCAGAACGGACATCCTTTACTAAGCATGCCACAAGGTTTTAGTGACTTATATTAAAAATTTTATTAAACTACTTTTATTATGTTATACCAATTAGTATAGCATAACATCTTAGCTAATAATCCATATTTTGTTAGTATATAAGTTTTAAGTTCTTAATTTTATACAGCAATATTTAAAAAAATTCTGAATTTCCTCTAGTGCGACACATTTTCTCTATGCATCTTCTCTATATTTTATCCACTACCCCTCCAATAAGTAGAAAATTAAATGTAAATTACTCACTATAAAATTGTCATTGCTGATAATTTTTATAGCCTTCAATTTTGTTTGGTTACAAATACATCAAATAGAAAATCAGACCCCTCTTGTCACACCCACCTGTCACATCCTCTCTTTCAGGATTTGTTAATAGTTCTATCTTGCATACAATTCTAAATTATCTATAACCAACAAAAGCCAAGGTTTTCATCTATCAAATGATGTATTGTATAACATTGTGTTCTCAACAGATAAGCATCAATTTCATTTATAATACACAGTTCGTCCCCACAGAAAAGATAACAACTAGCTTGAATGAATTTGTAAAAGCTCTTGTTGCACAATTAGAAAGCCAGAAAAATTGAGAGAGTTAGGGAACATTTTTGCACATTATTAGTCTATGTTCTTTGGTGCACTATTTAATTACATAACTATTATTTAGTGCATTACTACCATTAGTATTAAAAAAGTAGGGTTAAGTGTCATAGACAACTGACAGCAAGAAAAAAGAAGATTCAGGTAAGTACTTTATTTCTTGTTTTTCATGTTTCTTCCTTATTTATTATTATAAAAATAACTAAAATGTAAAAATAGGGATCCCTTTAGGTTAGTTAAGGTTGGACTAGGTAAAACTTGCAACTTATAATGGCGTGAATAGTAGTTGGACATGGTTCAAAAGGCAACAAAACAATAAAATTTAATTATAAATAGAGGTATACTGTTACGAGTTTAAAGCTACTTATGATAAAGGAATGTAGTTTCATGTTACAATTTTAAGTCATTCTAGAAAGAAAAAAGGGTAATTTAGATTTATTTTGGTGGTTACAAGATCAGTCAAATTGATCAACATTGTATAAAGGTAGAGTAGAGAAAATTACAGATAAAATATAAATTTTTACTGAAAACAAATGTT